CTGTTTCAATGGAAGAATTCTTTTAAAGCCAGACATATTCCAGCCATTATATACATACACCACATTTTATTTATTTGACAATATGCATTTAGATTGTTTCCATGTTTTGGCTACTGTAAATATTGCTGCTGTAAACATGGGGGTGGATATCTCTCCCCTTGAGATCCTGATTTGATTTCCTTCGATATATATCCAGAAGTGACTGCTGAATCAAAATGGAAATTTAATTTGTCATTTTCTGAGTAAGCTCCAAACTGTTTCCCAAATGTATTGCACCCAATTTACATTTCCAACCAACACCGTACATGAATTCCCTTTTCAACATTCTTGCCAGCACTTACTATCTTTGCTTTGTTTTGTTCTGAGAGCTAGAAACTCAGATATCATAAAAACAAAAAATAACAATCAGATTTCAAGATGGATTAGAGACTTAAATGTTAGACCTAATACCATAAAAACCCTAGAAGAAAAACCTAGGTAATACCATTCAGGACATAGGCATGGGCAAGGACTCATGTCTAAAACACCAAAAGCAACGGCAACAAAAGCCAAAAATTGACAAATGGGATCTAATTAAACGAAAGAGTTTCTGCACAGCAAAAGAAACTACCATCAGAGTGAACAGGCAACCTACAGAACGAGAGAAAATGTTTGCAATCTACTCATCAGACAAAGGGCTAATATCCAGAACCTAAGCAAAGAACTCTCGAACAAATTTACAAGAAAAAACAAACAACCCCATCAAAAGTGGGTAAAAGGGATATGAATAGACATTTCTCAAAAGAGGACAGCCCATGCAGCGCCAACAGACACATGAAAAATGCTCATCACTAGCCATCAGAGAAATGCAAATCAAAACCACAATGAGATACCATTCACACCAGTTAGAATGGCAATCATTCAAAAGTCAGGAAACAACAGGTGCTGGAGAGGATGTGGAGAAATAGGGACACTTTTACACTGTTGGTGGATTGTAAACTAGTTCAAACCATTATGGAAAAACAGTATGAAGTATCTCCTCAAGGATCTAGAACTAGAAGTACCATATGACCCAGCCATCCCATTACTGGGCATATACCCAGTTACTATAATTCAGTGCTGCTATAAAGACACATGCACACGTATGTTTATTGTGGCACTATTCACAATAGCAAAGACTTGAATCAACCTAAATGTCCATCAGTGACAGACTTGATAAGAAAATGTGTGGCACATATACACCATGGAATACTATGCAGCCATAAAAAGGATGAGTTCATGTCCTTTGTAGGACATGGATGCAGCTGGAAACCATCATTCTCAGCAAACTATCACAAGAACAGAAAACCAAACACCGCATGTTCTCACTCATAGGTGGGAATTGAACAATGAGATCACTTGGACTCGGGAAGGGGAACATCACATACCGGGGCCTATCACGGGGAGGGGGGAGGGGGGAGGGATTGCATTGGGAGTTATACCTGATGTAAATGACGAGTTGATGGGTGCAGCACACCAACATGGCACAAGTATACATATGTAAGAAACCTGCACGTTATGCACATGTACCCTAGAACTTAAAGTATAATTAAAAAAAAAAAAAGGGAAAATAATCTGAACAGGTATTTCTCAAAAGAAGACAAAAATGGCCAATGAATGTATGAAAAAAATTTCAACATCGGTAATCATCAGATAAACGCAAACCAAAACCACAATGAGGTATCTCACGCTAGCTAGGATGTATATTGCCAAAAAGACACAAAAAATAATTGTTGGCACGGGTGCAGATAAAAGGGAACTGTATTACATTGTTAGTGGGACTATAAACTGGTACAGTCACTGTAGAGAACAGCATGGAGGTTCCTCAGAAAAGTACAATATCCACAAACATCCCCTTTTTCCTGCGTGTTTTTTATTCTACCTGGACAACTGCAATCCCTACCTGCTTCCACTTTAGCCCTTTTGATTTATTCTTCTTCTAATAGGAATATACAGCAAACTTTGAACAACTGTTTTAAATGAAATGAAGTGATGCCAGTCCTGTGCCTAAAAGTCAGATGACTTTCAAAAGTACTTGACATAATGAGTAAATCATCACTGTGACTTCCATATTCCTTTCTGACTCATTTTCCCCTTCTTTTTCTCCTGGCTCATGCTGCTCCTCTTCCAGTGTCTTCCTTTGGCTCCTCAAACATGCTAAGCTCTCTCTTGCCTCAGATGTTTCCTCCACTTCATTTTCTAGCCAGAATTCCTTCACACAGCAAATTGTCAAGTTCCTACTACTGAGGTATCAACTTTAATTTCACCTCTTCCGAAGACTCTACTGACTACCCAATAGAAAGTAGTTTTCCTGCTCCTGTTACTCTCATTTAAAGGGTTCTTATTGGTACATTCAAAGTGTATAGCAAGACTTAAAACCAGACATTGTTGTGATAATGTGTTTACCTATTTACTTTCCGTTTTCACCACTAACCTCTTATCTCCATGAGGATAAGTACAATGTCTATTTTATTCCCCACTTATATCTGATAATTTTTTAAGAAATAGCTAGAATCTAGATTTTTAAAAACTTAGATACATACCCTTTAGAATTTAAAATAATTATAATCATTTTATACATCCAAAATTAGATCATGGGATGTCAAAGCATCCTCAAATATATCAGATATTTGGACAATTTTGTTCCAAATTATTTATGTTTTTGAAGACATTGGCATCTGGTGACAAATAAGGAATTATCTTTAACCCAAAAGACTGTATCACACACTTATTTTGTCTGTAGATATTTCTGTAATGCATAGATTTACACTTCATTTCCATTCTTCTCTCTGGAACGCTGAATTGGTACCAATATTCACACCTGGCTTCCTTGTTTTTACGGCATCTTGTTCCTCTTCTCCATGAGTGCATTGTTCCTTCCTTTCACAACCTAACTCATTTGGCTACAAAGTCATAACATGGCCAGAGTGATACTCGAAGGAAAAGCACAGATACATACAATACTCTAAGATTAGAAAATGGGGATCAGAACATAGCTTGATCTATAGGTTTTCTGTTATGCAACAGATGAATGTATTTAAAATATTTCTCTTGAACAACAAATTCTTAGTACATATAACAGACATAAGGTCTTAAGTAAAGAAATTTTAAGAGTAGACAACCTTTACAAATTGTACTCCTATAAAATGTAAAAACCTTGAGGTTTTAGTAATATTGTTGGTTTTATACCCTTTTTAATTTATATTTATTTATTCATTTATCTGCCGTTTTCCCCTTGCTCTACATAAATTGGTGCTCTTTCTATTCATCCGTTAAGAACATTCAACAAACAAAAAACAAATACCTTTCATACTGGCCTTCCAGGAAAACATCAGTAGTATAATCTACTATTTAAGTAATATAATTTTTTTTCCTGAACAACTCTTCTAGCACTGACTTACTTTAGAAGAAGAATATGAGCTAGCTGACCCAGGGATAGCTCATCTATGAATTAATAGAACCAATGAACATTTGTCAGTGATTGTATTAGCTGAGTGATTCGCCTTGACTTTTCTAATTTTTTTTTTCATTTTCAAATATAGCTTTTGCTTTTTGACATTACTTCTTTTCTATTTTGAAAGTTTACTTAGCAGTAATGAGAGACTGACTGCCTCTAACATGTAAATTGAAACTCCTTATTAATTTCCAAAAAGGCACAGCAGTTCCCTTGTATCTGTGGAAGGCATTTTCATACCAAGACCTCCAGTAGATGCCTGAAACCATAGATAAATACCTAACCCTATATACACTAGGTTTTTTTCTATTCATACATACAAATGATAAAATTTAATTTATAAATTAGGCATAGTAAGAGATTAACAGCTAATAAAACAGAACAAGTTATCTCTCTTTCTCTCCCTCTCAAAATATCTTATTTTACTGTGCTCACCGATTTTAGGATTCCAATTGACCACAAGCATTTGAAACCATGGAAAGCAAAACTGCAGATCATCAGGGACTAATGTATTGGTGAACTTAAAAGTATTCATTGCTTTAGTTCAAAATTTTACCTTCTGAACACAAATTATTTGATATATACTACTTTTTAATATATCTTACTATCCATCATTTAATATTTAACTATAAAATAGGTATCTATAAAATATTCTTCTGTAGAAAAATGAGAAACTCAAATATGAGTGTACAGTCATTTTGTTTTTTTTTTTTTATTCAGCTATTCTTAATGGTTACTGAATCTTAATTGTTATTTAAAAATAGATGTCGGCCGGGTGTGGTGGCTCACACCTGTAACTCCAGCACTTGGGGAGGCCAAGGAAAGAGCATTGTTTGAGACTAGTAATTCAAAAGCAGCCTGGGAAACATAGCAAGACCCTGTTGCTACCAAAAAATAACAAAAACTAGCCAGGCATCATGGCACACGCCTGTAGTTACAGCTACTTGTGGGGGCTGAGATGAGATAATTGCTTGAGCACAGGAGGTTGAGGCTGAGCCGAGTTCACACCACTGCACTCTAGCTTGGGTGACAGAGGCACAGAGGGAGACCCTGTCCCAAAAAATAAAATAAATAAATAATAAATGTATCGAAGAGGCCAAACTTGGAAATGTTAATCAAAAGTAAAAATTATTTACCCTATTTCTACATACACATATATTACCCATTCATTTTATTTTGTACCAAATATCCCTGTGAAATGTATTTTTCTTAATCCATTATTATACATTTATGTTCTGAAGAAAACGTGGATTGGAAATAATGACTACGAATAGGATTTCATTTTTCAGTATGACAGCTGTGTTCAAGAAAGTCATTTTAGGACCACAATAAGATGAATGTGTACTATTTAAAATACATACTATGAAAATATTTATATATGCTAGAAAAAAGATTAATTTGTCAGAATTAATTGTGCTTCAAAGCAACAGCATAGGAATAAAGCCTTAAACAAAAGTAATGGTGAAGGGAGACATTAGGAAATCTTAACTACATTGAGGCAAGCCACAGTGAAAGACATTGTCCATACCTGTTGGCACATGTGATCCCACTGAATGTTAAGTTCTTTCAGTTCTATCTCAAGTCTCAAAGCAAATTCTGGCTCTGCTTCATTCTTTATCTTCTGCCCACCTTCATTGACACTGTTTAGACTGGGCTGAATTGTCTGAATATCATTGACTAAAAGCTAAGAAAATGAATCAATTTAAGCCAGCTGAAAAAATTACTGCCACATATTAAATATGCAACATAGCTAGAAAATGTAAAATTAGGACTGATGGCATCGCATATGGATTTTTGTCTTTTAAAATCTGAGATACAAATATATTGATACAGACAACTGCATAACAGTCTTACAAAAATGTTCAATGATTATTATGGCATGAATCCGGTGGGGAATTATTTGTATTTTACTTATATCAGAAACAAAAAGGAAATAAATTTAATATTTCTGGTTAGAAAAATGTGTGAAAATGATGGGCTTCATACTTTACTATGTTGGTTAGTATTTTCATTTTCAAACGCAAGATATTGCAGATAATTGTTTACAGCGTAACGGGTGTGAAGGTGGATTTGCTTTTTTAGCTTGTATTGTAAAAAAAATTCTTTAAAGAGCAAGATTTTCTTCCTGTTGCATGACAAAGGTATACTGAATATTATTTCAAAACTACATATTGTGTTATAGTACAGTGCATTATACATGAAGAGAACAACACAGTATGAATAATAATTTGTCATAAGAAATAACAAGTAGCTCAAAGGATTCTTTACCTTTAAGTTATACTGCTTTTTATAGCAAAATAATGTTATCAAGTGACGCTGAGTACAAGGCAATGTTTTTTCAATTCCTCACTTACTCAACCCAGGGTTTCTCAACATTGGCACTAGTGACATTTTAGATTGTGCAGTTCCTTGTTGTGGAGGGCTGTTCTATGGACTGAAAGATACTTAGCAGCATCTCTGTCCTCTACCTACTAGACACCAGTAGCATCTAACCACCACCCCCAACCCAGTTATGACAATCAAAAATGTCTACAAGCATTAAAAAAAACATCTGCTGGGGAGGGCAGGGCAAAATCCACCCCAGCTGTAAAACACTGATCTAACCAAGTAATATTCATACAAAATTATTCATATTAAAGACATCATATAAAAATCATACTCTGCACTGTTTCAGCTGCTTTTTTAGAATCTCTGAATCCCCAAGGGCAGGCCATTCCTCCTTCAGAAAAACATCAACTTCAGCCATCCATTTCTTCAGGGTTTGTATGTGATTCTGAAACGAGACCCATTATAAGGCATTACTGGTGTGCTGATTACTTCTAATACAATTCATCATTGTGTTATGTCTAAACACAAGCCCAAAAACGATTCCCATGTTTAAAGGATGTCTCTAAGTAGCTCTTGAGGAAAAGAATATTTTTACTAAGACTGCGTTTTTATGGTCTACTGTATGAGCACTGGTGTGTGAAGTCTGCTATTGTTAAAAATAAAAAATTACTACCAAATGTGGTTTTATGATGTTACTCTCGAGAACATTAAATCATATCCCCCTCTAGATAAATTTTAAGTTACAAAACAACTCATGAGAATACTAACAATATGCCCTTACAGTATATAAAACAAACTATGAACAATAAACTCAATGTAATGGTGTCTTTATAGCCTCCCTAAACTCGAACTTTCACAAATTGTTTTCTACAGATGACAGTTTAAATAGTCCCTCCAGTTGTGAACTTTCGGACTAAGATTTTGTCATCTTAGAAGAGAGAGCTTTTGTTTTTATTTGTCTGACCAGTATGAAGTAATGATCAGGTAAAAATCATCATCTTTTATCATTTATAAATAGCCAATATCTCTCATCCATGATTCTTTGCCATATTACCTTTTTTCCTGCTGTTTTGCTACTTTTAAAAAGTATGATTAAACTCTCCTGTCTACATGAGTTATTTTCTTCCAATTTACTTAAATGTATATTGAAAATACATGCTCCACAGTAAGTTTCCCCTTTAATATGATGATTAATAATAATTTTCAAAGTACTTATCTAAGTCAGAGAACTTCAACATGATCACCTTGCTGTTATCTTTCAAGTCTACATTTGCTCTTTTTCCACATCTTCACTGTCCTTGCTCAGGTCTTTTTTTTTTTTTTTTTTTTTTGAGACGGAGTCTTGCTCCGTCACCCAGGCTGGAGTGAAGTGGCACAATCTTGGCTCACTGTAGCCTCCACCTCCCAGATTCAAGTGATTACTCCTGCCTCAGCCTCCCAAGTAGCTGGGACTACAGGTGTGCACCACCACGCCCAGCTAATCTTTGTATTTTTAGTAGAGACGAGGTTTCACCATGTTGGCCAGGATGGTCTTGACCTCTGGACCTCGTGATCTACCCACCTTGGCCTCTCATAGTGCTGGGATTACAGGCGTGAGCCACTATGCCTGGCCTATTCAGGTCTTATTACTGACTCCATTAATGCACTGGCTCGTTTTGATATCTGCCTCGGTCTTACCTCACTCTAATTATTGATCTACAGTGAAGCCAGGAATCTTCTCTCCTCCTTCCTCTTGCCATGGGAGTGTTTTGAAAACACAAGTGGAATCATATTATTTCCCTCTTTAACCAATAGCAGTTTTTTCTTATTGTTATTGTTATCACTCTCATTACCATTAGATTAAAACTCAGATTGTAAAACGTGGCATCCAAGGCCATTCACTGTCTACTCCCAAACCAGTTTTCCAACCATAATATTTTATTAATCCCCATATATATTGTCTCCCCAATGTTGAACTTATTCCAGTTAACTGAAAATGCTGCGATGCTTTCTCAAGAACTCTTCCTTTCTCGGTATTATCTAACTAAATTCTACCTATTCAATCTATAGCAGAGATAATCTATGTTCCAATAATATTTCATAATCTTTTTTTCTAGTTTATGTTAGATTTCCTTCCTGCCTACTGTGACAACCTTTCCCATATTGCTTTATTTACTATGGAAGGCTGAATAATGTTACCCCCAAGATGTCTACACCCTAATCTCTGAAACCTGTGAGTACATTACCCAACATGGCAGAAAGGACTTTGCAGATGTGATTACTTTAAGGATTTTGAGATGAGGAGATTATACTGGATCATCCACCTGGGCATAATGTAATCACAAAGGTCCTAATTAAAAGGAAGTCAACGCAAGGAACAGGACAGGGAGAGGAAGGAGAGGAGGAGAGGTAGAATGAGAGGGAGATGGAGATAGAGAGGGAGAGAGAAACTGACACTGGACGATGTTACACTGCTGACATTGAAGATGGAGGATGGGGACATGAGCCAAGGAATGCTTCTAGAAGCTAAAAATGCCAAAAAACAGACTTTCTCAAAGCCTCCAAAACACACACAGTCCTGCTGACACCTTAATTTTAGCCCACTGAGACTAATTCTGAGCTTCTGACTTCCAGAACTCTAATAAATTTGTGTTGTTTGAAGCTATTAAATTTCTGGCAGTTTGTTAGGATGCCATAGGAAATGAATATATCTACATTCCTCCTTCGCTAGAATGTGGACGCACTGATGACAAGAGGCATGTAACTGTGTCCTCTTAGGCCACTGGTCGTGGTAAATAATAGATATTTTCATGCAGTATTTACATAGGTATGCATGTACACATATGTTTATAAGTAAAGACATGCTATGCATTTAAGAATGTTTTAGGTTTGCTTAGTGCTTCGGTTTGTTAAAGGTAAGCACAAAAACTAAGTAGCTAGGCTAGGATTTAAATCCAGGAGCATCTTGTTGCAATGTTTTTCCATCATACCATAATGTTTTTGACATTTCCTTCCCAGTATTAACATTTTTCACAATAATTGACCACTCAAGGGACACATTACTTACCTCACTGAATATTTCAGGCTTTTAGATCTTAATGCAATTGTTGGTTTACTGTTTTTCTTTAGTTTGAGTGGTTATTACTATGATGGCACTATTCAAACAAATTAAGTCAAGAGGATTTGGTTTCAGGAAGAAGGTGATGGGGTAAAATTTAAGCATATAATTACAAATTCAATATGGTGATAAAATAATTTATTACTGTATCTTACGTATGTAACATTAATATACATAACATGTTACATATGTGATATATGATTACTTTAGATATGTATATATATACATGATATATAATTCAATTATATGCACATATATACACATACGTACACATTATATGTGTGTGTGTATATACATACATATGGAAGCTAAAAATGCCAATAAAACACATTCTCTTTTAAAGCCTCCAAAACAGACACAGTTCTGCTAACACCTTAATTTTAGCCCACAGAGACTAATTCTGAACTTCTGACCTCCAGAACTGTAATATAATAAATTATGTTGTTTGAAGCCATTAAATTTGTGGTAATTTCTTAGGAGTGTCACAGAACATTAATACACCTACATTTCTCCTACACATATACATATATGGAGTTATACATAATGGGATTAATATATAATACAATTTTATGATTATATCACCGTATTTTATATATATAATAGCACATGTAGACAGCATAGTTTACTCATACTTTTTATAAGTAGCAAAACAGCAGAAACAAAAGGTGATATAGGAAATAATCATATACACACTATACATTATACATATACTGATTACATTATACATCTGTATAATGTATATATACATAACTGTTTTCTAGTCATAAGATAAATGATTACCTGTGTCTTAAAAGACAACCAGACTAAATGAATGATTGGTTTTGAAAATCATTAAACTAAAAACATGTTTAATTCCTATTGGTAATGGTGAAAATAGCAAATTAATTCTACAAAAAACTGAGAAAACTCTTATTCTTTTCTTAGAAGGAATAAGCAAATCACCATCCTTTGTAAAAGACTCATGTCTTTTCATCTTATCACTAACTTTGAAAGATGCTGGAGGTCAAATGTTTGCGTACCTTTACAGTTTACAGTGTATTGTTAGGAAAATAACAAGTACATAAAAAATGAGTGTAGAAAGTAAAATCTTGAATTACCTGAATTTTTCGGAGTTTATTCATTTGCTCCTCTAGCTTTTGACAATGCTCGACTAGCTGGGAGGAGAGCTTCTTCCAGCGTGTCTCAATTTCTTCAAATTCTAATTGATATTTTCGGCTGATTTCAGAGGGGGCTTTCTTTGACATCTCTTTCACAGTGGTGCTGAGATAGTTTAGGCCACTTTGTTGCTCTTGCAGAGAACTTTGTAAAACCTCAAAAACAAATTTTTAAATACATTTATACTAATTGATGAATAATTGATGAGTTTTCATTAAATTATACTTAAAATGAAATCTATGATTCAAACATGTAAACAAAGTAGATGATCTTATATCAGTTATAAACATCTAGTGGTAATTTAAATTTTACATATTATCCTAAGAGTAACCTGCATATTATTTAGTGATATTTTATTTAACACTCCCTATGCATTTTTCTAAACAATGTCAAATATATCTCAAAACTATATCTTACAGAGCCAAAGAGTTTTGGTGCATCTAATTTTACTGAATTAAGTATATATATATAACTAACAGCAGTTGTGATACAGTTAATGGAGTTGAAGTTAATTATACTGAGCTTTCAGGAAAGTAAACGCTACGTAAAACTATAGCTAATAATATTGATATATGGAATAGAAAAACTTACTGAATATGTACTTAATGTTTCATATTTTCAAAAAATGTTATTCTGTTATGTAGTATTATGGTGGGATTCAAGGATAATTTTGTGGAGAATTTATAAAATTTATTTATACTTATTCTGTATAACACATGCAATTTCTTACATTGGATGACAACTTTAGGCTTCCCCTGTTCAATATTTACTTAGATGTAACTTTCTCTTTATAAAATAATAAAGGTTCATTAAAAAAATGAAAAAAACAGAACTACATTTTATATAAATTATCAATTTGTTCTATGTATAGCTAAATATTAAATATATGATCATATATGCACACATACCCAGTTATTCTTTCTCACATAATTTGACCTATATCAACCAAAATTTGTCAAACATCTAACTTTTATAGTTTCATAGTATCCTATGCCTATTTGGTGGTACTTGTTTATTTTTACTTTACTTTTATTTCACTGCTTTAAATTGTTCCCCTATGACTGATTATTTAGACAATACCTAGCATGTAACTACACTTTGAGCTAGGTTATTTTATTGGGAGCATTTGCCCTTGTCAATTTTTTGTTTTTTCAAAAACAAAAATTGTAATGGCTTCTCTAGTTTAACAATTTCCATTATTAGTTCTACAAATTGATTTCTAGTTTTCCACTCATGTAAATTATGTTTATCTCTAACTACCTCTACCTACCTATCTATCTATCCATCCATCCATCAATGTCCTATCTATCTCCAGTTCCATTGACATCTTTGAGTGTATTCTGATTATTTCTGTAAGATATAGACTTCCTGGAAATTATATTAACATTGTTGTATGTTATTAGGATGCACTGAAGTGTTAACCTCAGTAAAATTCATATTGAATTTACATTTCCAGCAGTAAGAGAGAAGTTTTAGTTCACCACTTCCAAATCCATACTTATATCTTTTGTGTGTGTGTACACAATTTAGTATGTAAAAAAGTTACCTCGTTTTGTAATTTTTTACTTCTTCCTTTACAATTTAAGTTATAATTATTCATAGATTTATTATTTATATATGTCTCTTTTTGGAGGATACCTTACTCAAGACTTTCTTCCTTACTCACAGAAAAAAAAAAAAAAAAAAAAGAAAGTTTCCTTGGCATCATATTTCTTTAAAATTGTCTCTGGTGTTTTTACAATGACTGTGATTGCTTCCATTGATTTTTAAGCTTCTCTACCTCAATTTTTATAACATTATTATTTTAAACATTTTCCAAAGTTTACACTTCCCCACATTTTTGAACATTCTATTGTATGTGGTTTTTATTATGGTGTAACTTTGGGGGAAATATTCATACCTTATTTTTTTGTTAATTAATACATTTCCCAATAATATTTATGAACGATTATTTTCTTTCCTATTTTTTTCAGTGGAAATAGTGTCTTCTGCTCATCTAATTGCCTTTTCTTGTGTGTTTTCTTCACTCTCCTTATTGTTGTACGTTTTTATTCTTATTTTTTAAAGTTTACTAGTTCTATTAGGCCACACATTTTTCCAAATAGACTTTGGAATCATTATGCCAAGCATTAAAAACTGCAACAAAAGGAAACAAAAAAGGCTAAACAGCTACCATTTGGTATCACAGAATATCTAAATAGGACAATATAAAATGAAAGCTGCTTAAACATATTTTCCTTTGAATACATTACTTCGAAAAAATATTTAATTCTTAGGAAAAGATTCTATACGATAAAGTTAAAATTTGAATTTTTCAAACATTTTTCTTAAAGGGCACATATTATCTCAGCTTCTAAATATAACTCATATGTTTTCATGTCTTAAGAAATAAAAAGTTATTGAATATATTATGCAGTATTTTAAAATTAGTAGGAAAAGGGCTGGACACAGTGGCTCATGCCTGTAATCCCAGCACTTTGGGAGGCTGAGGCAGGCATATCATCTGAGGTCAGGAGTTTGAGACCAGCCTGGCCAACATAGGGAAACCCCATCTCCACTTAAAAAATACAAAAGTTAGCTGGGCGGGGTGGCGCGTGCCTGTAATTCCAGCTACTCAGGAGGCTAAGGCAGGGGAATCGCTTGAACCCGGGAGGCGTAGGTTGCAGTGAGCCGAGATAGCACTACTGCACTCCAGCCTAGGCAACAAGAGTGAAACTCTGTCTAAAAATAAAATAAAACAAATAATGTAGGAAAAGTATTCTAAAATCTCTTACAAATTATTTCTTTCATTTCCCATATTAGTATATCTTTCCTGATACAAGGATGTTAAAAAATGTAGCTATTAGAATTCAAGTATCTCATTACATTATTACATAAAATTAATGTTTAAGTTTAAACTAATTTTATAAATATAGGCAGACCTCCATATTTGTGGATTCTGAATCAGTGGATTCAATCAACTAATAGATAATATTTGAAAAAAATAATTACAACCGTACTCAACATGTAAGACTTTTTCATTGTCACTACTTCCTAAATAATACAGTATAACATCTATTTTCATAGTATTTACATTGTATTAGATATTAGAAGTAATCCAGAGATGAGTTAAAGTATATGGGACGATGTGCGTAAGTTATATGCAAATATTACACCATTCATATCAAGGACTTGAGCATCTGTGGATTCTGATATTCATAGGAGTTCCTGGAACCAATTCCCCATGGATACAAAGGGATGACTGTACACTGATTTTACCCGTATGTTTGAGAATGTGACAGGAGTTACAAATAAAGAAGCAAAAGTGGGGAATAAAACAATGGTGTTTCTAATAATCAAAATCAATACGTCTAAAAATGCATGCTAAATTAAAAATATACTTCACAAATAGATCACACAATTTTTTCAAAAACTGCATATATATATATATGCCTGTATACATATATCCATAGATAGAGTGTATGCATAAATAATACTTTAAACTCTCATTTTCATTTGCTCAATGGGCAAACTACCATACTTGCCAGAATTAATTAAATTCTATTATTATTTAAAGGTTCTATCAATGTGAATGCTTGATAAGCATGCTTTATTGCTTTGACATTCAAATATTCACAGACCTGCAATTCCCCGAGTCTCTGCTCCATGATTTCATAGTCGGTGACACTAAGTTGAGGTATGGATAGTTTGGTTTCTGACCGCTGGACCCATGTCCTGATGGCACTCATCGTCTCCTGATAGCGCATGGGTGGCAAAGTGTCAAAAACTTTATCAAAAGGGAAAAAACAATGAGAATCACTTAACTGTTTCACACTTTGCCATGTTTTCCTACATTGTCAGCAAACTCAATTATATCACTAGTTTCAAATATTAACAAAATTAGAACATCTGAAAAATGTATTTGAATATGATTATGATTATGAAGATATATTCCTGCTACATGTGTAATATGCCAGGGTCCTTATATATATTACATTAAATTCACAAAACCGCCTGGAAAATCTATATCGTTCAATTCATTTTATAAGGTCAGGAAACAGAAAAACAGAGAAGCTGAGTCATTTGCCCAAGGTGATACAGATGGTATTTGGAGAAAGCGAGCAGAGTCCAATTGTATCTGATATTGAAAGGCTACTGTCTTTCAGTGTTATCATTTGCCTTTGGAAAAAAATAGTATCATTATCCAAAGCCCTTGATTTTTAAATTACATCATGTCATGTCTAATTTTACCGAAACAAAACCCATTTATGTATGCTTTATATGTATCAAGAACTCTAATAATAATCCCATATATATATTATCATTCTTAACTCTTATAATAAACCTGTGAGGTACATACATTGTTAATCCCAATTGCAATTGAGAAAACAGGCTATTAAAGAGGCATATGTGTGTGTGTATGTATATACTTTTATATGCACAATTATAATACATAAGTATATTAGGGAAAGTATTATACAGAGATATACAGTATGTGTATACATACAAGTTTATATGTTTTAAAGTATGTGTGTATTTGTATATATATGAAATGTGACTTAAGTAGCTACATTGACCATGTTGAAAGAGATTAGACACAAGATTGAGAATGCTGCAGAGAACTGTAAACTATAAAGAGGACAAAACATTTTATGGATAATCCCAAAGAAATTCTAGAATTAAAGATACAGTAAGTGAAAAGTAAGAACTAAGTGCATGGGTTTAACAGCAAATTTGACAGGGGTAAATAGAGAATTACTAAACCTTAAGATTCAGAAGCAAATACCTGGAATGAAACATGGAGACACAAAAAGATAGAAAAGACAGTAAAATTGTCTACTATATATGCATCCCAGAATGTGGGAGAAGCCATATTTAAACAGATAATTACTAATGTTTCTAAATACATGAAATCACAATGCAAAGTCCTGGTTTACATCATCACATCAAATAACATAATCTAAATCATATTATTTTAATTGCTGGGATGTGAATGTCATTTCAATACACCAATTCCTTCTACACTAAATGAGAAGACTATAGGAAAGCATTTTGCATGTATTTAATCTAGTATTCAGATGGTTGCAATAATTTTAGAGTGTGTTGGCAATGGATACTGAAATGTTAGAAATGGGTAATTTTATTCAATATGCTTATATTGCAATTATTTGGGAACTCATAAAAATGTTATGAGATTATACTTAATCTAAGCACTTTTGATTTCTTATTAAAAGATCTTTGTGGTACTTAAAATCTCACTGTTTTAATTTATATAAATAATATGTTTCTCTATTAACCAGACACATTTATTTTTTATTTTTCCATAAGTTATTGGGGGTACGGGTGGTATTTGGTTACATAGGTAAGTTCTTTAGTGGTGATTTGTGAGATTGTGGTGCACCCATCACCTGAGCAGTATACACCATATCCTATTTGTAGTCTTTTATCTCTCCCCTCAACCTTCCCCAAAAGTCCCCAAAGTCCATTATATCATTCTAATGCCTGTGTGTCCTCATAGATTATCTCCCACTTATCAGTGAGAACATGCAATGTTTGGTTTTCCATTCCTGAGTTACTTCACTTAGAATAATAGTCTCCAATCTCATTCAAGTCACTGCAAATGCTATTCATTCATTCCTTTTTATGACTGAGTCATACTCCATCATATATACATACATATATATAGACACACACACATATATGTATATGCATATATATACACATACACACACACACGCACCACAGTTTCTTTAACCACTCATTCAGTGATGGGCATTTGGGTTGGTTCCACGATTTTGCAATTGTGAATTGTGCTGCTATAAACATGCATGTGCAAGTATCTTTTTTGAATAATGACTTATTTTCCTCTGAGTAGATACCCAGTAATGGGATTGCTGGATCAAGTGGTAGTTCTACTTTTAGTTATTTAAGGAATCTCCACACTATTTTGCATAGTGGCTGTACTTATTTACATCCCCACCAGCAGTGTACGAGTGTTCCCCGATCAACACATCCATGCCAACATGTACTATTTTTAAAATTTTTTTTATTATTACCATTGTTGCAAGAGTAAGACGGTATCACATGTGGTTTTGATTTGCACTTCCCTAATCATTCGTAATGTTAGCATTTTTCATATGTTTGTTGGTCATTTGTATATTTCCTTTCGAGAACTGTCTATTCATGTCCTTAGGCCACTTTTTGGTGGGATTGTATTTTTCTTACTGATTCGAATTTGTTACAGATTCTGGATATTAGTCCTTTGTCAGATGTATAGATTATGAAAATTTTCTACCACTCTGTGGGTTGTCTGTTTGCTGTTTCTTTTGCCATGCAAAAGCTTTTTAGTTTAAATTAGGTCCCAGCGACTTATCCTTGTTTTTATTACATTTGCTTTTGGGTTCTTGGTCATGAAATCCTTGCCTAAGCCAATGTCTAGAAAGGTTTTTCCAATGCTATCTTCTAGAATTTTTATAGTTTCATGTCTTAGGTTTAAGTCTTTAATCCATCTTTATTTGGTTTTTGTACAAGGTGAGAGATGAGGGTCCAATTTCATTCTCCTACATGTGGCTAGCCAATTATCCCAGTCCATTTGTTGAAAAAGGTGTCCTTTCCTGACTTTATGTTTTCGTTTGCTTTGTTGAAGATTGGTTAGCTTTAAGTATTTTGGTTTATTTCTAGGTTCTCTATTCTGTTCCATTGGTCTATGTGCCTATATTTATACCAGTACCATGCTGTTTTGGTGACTATGGACTTTTAGTATAGTTTGAAATCAGGTAGCGTGATGCCTCCAGATTTGTTCTTTTTTGTTTAGTCTTACTTTGGCTGTGCAGGCTCCTTTTTGGTTCCACGTGAATTTTGGAATTGTTTTTTTCTAATTCTGTGAAGAATGATGCCAATATTTTGATATGAATTGCATTGAATTTGTAGACTGCTTTTGGCAGTATGGTCATTTTCACAATACTGATTCTACCCATCTTTGAGTATGGGATGTGCTTCCATTTGTTTGTGTCATCTATGATTTCTTTCAGCAGTGTTTTGTAGTTTTCCTTGGAGAGGTCTTTCGACTCCTTGGTTAGGTATATTCCTAAGTTTTTGTTGTTGTTGTTTTATTTTATTTATTTATTTATTTTGCAGCTATTGTAAAAGGGGTTGAGCTCTTGATTTCTCTGCTTGGTCACTGTTGTTATATAGAAAAGCTACTGATTTGCGTACATTAATCTTGTATCTGGAAACTTTGCTGAATTATTTCATCAGTTCTAGAAGCTTTCTGGAGGAGTCTTTAGGGTTTTGAAGGTAAACGATCATACAGTCAGTAAACACTGACAGTGTGACTTCCTCTTTACCGATTTGGATACCCTTTATTTCTTTCTCTTGTCTCACTGCTCTGACTAGGACTTCTACTGCTATGTTGAAGAGGAGTGGCGAGAGTGGCAGACGCATTTATTTGATTGCTAGATGATTACAAATAAACAAAGTCCAAAAGGGACCTTATAAATAACAGTGAAGTAAAGTGAAATATTTAGTTACAACGAAGCAAATGATTGTGTCTGAGATGTAATTTCAGCAAATGATCTAGAAGGAGAGGGGACTATGGGCAGATACAAGGTGGTATGTTGGATGAACCATAAGCTTCATAAAAATTGGTTTAATTGAACTTGAACATGTCTCCTCTTTAACTTCTTTCTGGTTTAACGAACATTGAAACACTTCAGTCTCTGAATTATTGATTTTTTTCTGTATAACTTCTGATCGGTATTCAGGTACAAGACTTGAAGTCCCCCCACTGAGATCTAAATCAAAATTCCACTCTGTTCTGACAGAAGACAGAACTACTTGTAAAAGTGGAAAGTGCAGAAAAAAATTAGCCCCAAAAACTATGGAGATGATACAGGCCATCAGAAAACAATGAAGAAATGAGCTACTAAGTGAGCTACATATTTTCAAAGATTACCGACCATTAAAATATCAGCTATATTTTTGAAAGTTATACAATAAGGTAACAAAGATTGTTTATATACATCTTTTTTTCTTTGAGACAGGGTCTCTGTCATCCAGGCAGGACTGCAGTGGTGCAATCATGGCTCACTGCAGCCTCTACCTCCCAGGCTTGACCGATCCTCCCATCTCAGCCTCCTGAGTAGCTGGGACTACAGGCATGTGCCATCATGCCAGGTTTTTTATTTTTATTTTTATTTTTGTAGAGATAAGGTTTCCCTATGTTGCCCAGGCTAGTCTCAAACTCCTATACTCAAGCCATCCTCCTACCTCAGCCTTGTAAAGTGTTGAGATTACAGGTGTGAGCCACTGTACCTGGCCTTTACATACATCTTAAATATGATTAAAATTACCTGCCTTTTACAATATGTTTATGCTGTCATTATTTACATATTCACAGAATTTAATTCATTAACTACATTATTTTAACAATGAAAATGTATATTTAATATGTTTAAATAGAAAATATCAAATTTACATCAAATTTGAACTCACTGAGAATTCAGTATTTTCCTCAGAATCATAAGCACTGGTTATAATATAAAGTTTTAATTTTATCATAGTCATAATTCAGAGCTCATAGTTTTCATTCAATCCATTCTCCAGCCCCTAACACCATTGAGGCTGAGTGATTATCTGTCAATTACTTCTGAGTGCCAAAGATGAGTAACATACATGGGATGACATCCTTTCATTTGCTACTAGTCTTCTATTCAATAGACCTTTAAAATTTTTATTGTATGTATCTACGCTAAATGGTCCAACAACTGAATCTCATGGGAATCACTT